TGGGTGTTTGGCACTGAGCAATAAATCTTCTGAAATACCACTTTTTGTATGGTCCTGATTCTTTGTGCCACTATAATGGTCTTAAAATTACAGGAAGGCTGATTCTACTGGAAGTCAGACTAGACTTTCTAAAACAGTGGTTCTCAACCTTTTTAATGCCGCGACCCCCAACCGGTCATAGGTCGAGGACTAAACCGGTCGTAAGTCGAGGACTAAACCGGTTGTAAGTTGAGGACTACCCAACCGGTCGTAAGTCGAGGACTTTCCCTGTCCGGGAGCGCCGCGCATGCGTGGTTCCGCCCCCTGCGCCGGCCGAGGCGTAGCTGGCAAGCGGCAGAGACAGAGCAGGCCGACCACCAGCTGGCCCAGCCCAAGGGAGGTAAGGCACCCGCCGGAAAAGGGGGAAAAATGGCGGACAAAAAAAATGGCGGACAGCCTTGCTTGGCGACCCCCGTGAAATGGTCGATCGACCCCAAATGGGGTCCCGACCCACAGGTTGAGAACCGCTGTTCTAAAAGGTGAGAGGAGTTTTGAGAATGGAACCCTTGACCTAAGGAACTACTGAACATTTTTTCTCTGGAGGGCTTCAAGCAAAGATTGGACAGCCACCCTTTGGAGAAGTTTTGATTTGAACCTTGCACTGGACAGGGGCCTGGATTTGATGTTCTCAAGAACCGTTTTCTTGCTTTTTATTTTTGAAGGAAGGGTTTATCGTGTCTAGTGGCCATAACTCGTGGTCAAGTCTGAGCACTTCTCATCAAACTAAACATAACTTTCATCAGATGTTTAGCACCAACCAGCATGTTTTTTTTCCCCTTAAAAATTGTAGCTGCGACTTAAAGTAAACCAGATCCAGACTGTGATAGATAAAAATAAGGTTTTACACTTAGGCAAGAAAAATCCAACTGTACAAGTACCGAGTAACTCAAGCTTGGCTCAATGCCAGTAACTGTGAGAGAGATTTTGGAGTCCAAGTGGACAATCACTTAAAGATGAACCAACAGTGTGCAGCAGCAGCAGCCAAGAAAGCAAATGCAATCCTGGATTGCATTAATAGAGGAATGGAATCAAGAAGTATTAGTACCACTTTACAAAGTCTTACTACGGCCACACGTGGAATATTGCATCCAGTTTGGGTCACCATATTATAAAAAAGATGTTGAGACTCTGGAAGGGGTGCCGAAAAGAGCAACAAAGATGATTAGGGGGGCTAAAGACTGACTTTTGAAGAATGATTGCAGGAATTGGGTGTGTCTAGTGAAAAGAAGGACTAGGGGGTGACACGATAGCAGTGTTCCAGTATTTGAGGGGCTGCCACAAAGATGAAGGCGTCAAACCAGAAGCACCAGACGCCAAGACAAGAACCAATGGATGAAAACTAATCAAGGAGAGAAGCAATCTGGAATTAAAGAGAAACTTCCTAATAGTAAGAACAATTAACCAGTGGAACGGGTTGCCTTCAGGAGTTGTGGGTACCCCATCCCTGGAGGTTTTCAAGAAGAGATCGGACAACCACTTGTCTGAAATGTATAGACTCCCTTGCTTGTGCAGGGAGTTGGACTACATGACCTCCAAAGTCCCTTCCAACTCTGTTATTCTATGTTCCAGGTGATGAGGAGCAAGGGGAAAAGAGATCAAGGTAGCTTAGTCTAAATGTCCTCAACGCAGTCCTTCTGGCTAACATAAAGGGTGACTGACTCCCCTTTGCTGTGGCCGAGCTAAGATATCCCCATTTTATCCCAATCCATCTATTATTCCCCCTTCCAGCCCCCACCCTCCGCCTCCCAAGAATAAAACGAAGGCTTACCTGAGACACCCAACGTCAACTAGCTGACTTCTGCTATAATTCACTGGATGCAGGCACGGAAGCGACGACTCTTACCCAGTGGTGGGATTCAAATATGTGAACAACCGGTTTTCTGTGTGGATGCCGCTTCCGGAAGTCCATTCTGGACCCGAACCACA